CTGGGGCCACGAGACAACCACAAAGAGCCAGCCTGAATGGAATCCTAGCATGTTTATTCCTTGGATCTGTGGGATTTATTTTTTCATCAGTTCCAGGGGAGTGCTGAGCAGAGGTGTCAGGGCTTGCGGATAATTTATGTGAGTAAACACGCAAGCAGTAGGGCGAGTGAGAGCCTGAGAATTAAGGGCATTTATCTGGGCTTTGATGCTTGCTTTGCCCTCTGGCCCAGCCTTCCCCACAGTCCTGATCACGCCATTCCAACCCTCCCCTGGCTAGTGCGCGGTGGGCCAGCACCGATCTCTTCCCAGCCTGCACCTGCCTCCCTGCCCCTCCCGCGGCCCTCATTAAGGCTGGCGAGAAGGTGGCTGGTGGCCTCCAGCTGAGACCTGCATGCTGATTCTGAAGGGAAGCCTCCCCCCACCCCGTCCCCAGCCTGGCCTGTCCAGTGTGGCCAGCCTAGGGCTGCCTTTTCCTCTTCCCCTTTCTTGCCTGGGTCTTCTGAAGATGTGCCGTGCACAGCCAAGTGGCACGGGGCTAACGTGCTTTACACTTGAGAGATGAAGCAATAACAGGTGGCAAGAGCGGAGGCTGCCGGAGCCCAGGATTCCGGTTGCCATGGAAACATGTCAGACCTGTGGAGGGCCCCGGGAACTGTCAGCCGTGGAGGGTGGCGGGGGGAACCAGTGAGAGGGACGAGGAGAGGCGCATCTCTTCCCGGAGGGCTCTGCTCGCCGCCCCCGAACTCCCCAAGCTCCCTGAAAAACGGCTGCTGAACCAGGGCTGGGGCTAGGGGTTGGGTGGTGGGCACCGGGCACGGCCACGTGTTTGTGGGCCCTGGGCCCTGGCAGCGGGGCTGAGTGTCTGCTCAGGGTGTGAGGCCATGCCCTTTGTGTGTGAGCCAAAACTTCTGGTCTTGGCAGAACCTGGCTGAGGGGCTGTCGCTGCCGCTCAAGTTCCTGACTGAGATCTGACTGCGAGGGGCATGGGTAGCCCTGTCTGGGTGCTCGTCTGATGGGAGGCTTGGGGTGCTGTTTGCTGTAGACAGGAAGCCAATTTAGCTCAACAGTCCTGCAGTGTGCACCAGCCCCTTCCTACAATGCCTGCTCTCCCTTTGGCGGGCCTGGTGGGGGCGCTGTTGGTGGCTGCGTTTTTGCCTTTCCTGGCTTCCACTTACTTGTACGCCCGCCTCCCGCGTGCCTTCTGTTACTGTTTCCCCCTGCAGGTCTTCGTGAACTTTGTCCCTGATTTCCATGTTTGTTTTCCCGGGGGCTTTTAGACTGATCATTCCCCCAGGTCAATTCCTAAACTCTTACGGCTCACTGTGTTTTCTTGTGGCTTCCTCGTATCTCTTAGATGATCGCAGCCCATAAACATTCATCAACAGTAAACCAAATCCATCATGGGGCGCTGCCTTCGAGATGCCGCTCGGGTCTCTGCCTTCCCTGTCACCTCCTTCCGTACAGCGGGACTCAATTTCCCATAAGCTGCAGCAGAATCTCTATTTAAGTCCCACTTGCAAAGTCTGGCCGAGCTTCCTATTTATAGTAAAGCCCTCGTTACAATGATCTCATAGACTGTACCAGGAAACTGCTCATGGCTGGGTCAGGCCATTAGGCCAACCTGGCCATGGGGTGAGCTTTACTTCATGAGCCTCTGGAATTCTCCAGAGACATGTTTTCACAGAGTGTATGACAATAAGCAGGATCACCCGGGATGCTTACCGTGGGAGGGGCATTAAGTTCAAAGGCAATTTCCGCTTTTATTAGGCCAGTCTCAATGACTTTTATCACCTTGGGCTTTGTAAATAACACACTGGGTGAATCACGTGGACTCTAAAGAGATCTGTGAAAGATTGTCTATGCAAGGTATGGCCGGAAAGTGTTTGCTTCCGTGTTTCCCAGGAGCTGGAGAAGTTTGATTAGAGGCAGAATCCTCAGGGGCACAGACAGACCTGGGCGTGAATCCTGCCTCTTCCTCCTCTCCACCACTGGGGCCTGGAGCCAGCACCTGAATCTCTTTGGATTTCAGTTATCTCCTCTGTCAGATCATCCCAGCTTCACACACTTTGTGAGAATCAGTGAGTGAGCTGGCGCTTGGAGAGCGTTCAGCAGAAGCCTCGCCAGTTCAGTAGCGTCGTGTGCGTCAACTGCCTCTCAAGGAGCAGTTGAACAAAAGGGAGGCTGCCTGGGCAGGTGCATGCAGCCTGGCGTCCCCCGCCCCAAGAGACAGTGAAGTGCAGTCCTGGGTTTGTGGTGCGTTTGGGGGCAGAGTTGTGTCTTGCCCACCGCAGAGGGGTGCAGGGTTACTCTCCCTGCTGCACGGAGCCTGCGGCTGCTTGTTCTTGCATTCCCTAGAACATGGCCGTGACCGCCAGCCAGATGACCAAGTTATTCCTGGGACGTGGGCCAGCTCTTCTCTCTAAGGAGTCGGAAAATAACCCTAGGGCACAGAATGACATTCAGATAACTTTGCCACCGGGCGAGCATCCGCAGTGAGTGTCTTTCCAAGGAGGAGGTTGCAGGGGCGTTCCCATCTCTGCCGTCCCTTCGCTGTTGGTAACCATTTCTGGTGTGCGGGGTGTGTGGGTGTTCTCACAGTGAGTGTGACACGGTGCCTGCCTTTAAGGCATAGATCGTTAAGTATAGGAGACGAGCCAGATGTACACAGTACAAGTTGTCTTGTTCATGGAAAATGCATTTTACGAGAAAACTACAAGTGGATTTCACACCTATTTTTGGCACTATCCTGAACTTCCAATTCCACTTTTCCATGAACTTTCTGAAGTCCCCTTTTGTAAAGAAGAGAAGGGTCCGAGTGGTGGTGCCGACCCGGTGCCGTCCTCCAGGCATGACTGGTCATCTCTGGCTAGGAGTCCGGAAGGCTCTCCTCTGGGAGAACCCCACTCTGGAACCAATCCTAAATTCCAAAAAGTGTACGAGAACCTGACGCAGAAGCTATTCTGAGTCTACTGCGTGCCACTTTCTCACGCTGCAAGGGTGCTTGGAGCTGAAGCAGAAAGGGTTTCCCTAGCCCTTCGCAGTTGCGTTCTATGTAAGTGGGCCACTGCTAGACTGAAAATACACCCCGTGCCCCAAAACCGTACACACCAGAGCCACAAGTGGGACTCAGCACCTCCCTCACCCCCTTGGATAGGCACTTTGTGTAACAAAGCACCGACGTGAACCCACGCTGCCTCCGTCCCGTCAGAGCCTTCTCTTAAGCTGAGTGAAATTCTGCCCCTTTGGTCTTTGTACAGAGAGTCAGTTCCTCCGTCACTGTCTACTTTGCTCTACTGGATCATTTCTGAGTTTAAGGAATTTTCTGGTAGCATCAGAGTCCCTGGTTCAATTGGCTGTTCTTCCAAGTGGTTGGTTGGTGGTGAATACTGGGCAGAATGAGGTGGAAGTTCTTATCCTCCATATGTTACTTCTTCATCCTCCTTCATCACCAGGGGTCCAGTGTTTGGAGAAAAATCAGATTGAGTCAGGATTTTGTGGATGGGAGGAAATCCAACGTTCTAGGAAGTCGTGAGGAGTAGAGGAGATGGGGCCCCTGAGTGTTTGTGGGAGCCACCTGGGTATCTGGGGTTCTTTGATTGCCTTGTTTGCGGGAAACTCCCTACGTTGTGACTGGCATGTCTGCATTTCCTACCTGGCTCCTGTTAATCATGCAGCTTAGTTTTGGTTTCCTTCAGCCCTTCGGGTTAACATGCTGCTACCCCTTTCCTAGCTGTTCTCTCTCCAACTGAGTTGCTTGCTTCCTGGGCATAGCTGAATTTTCTTAGGAGAGTTCTAAGAGTAGCCCAGATGGCGGTCGAGGCAGACCAAAGACAGGGGAGCTGCCACCTTTGGATTTGGGTAATGAAACTTTTATACGCAGAGTAAAATCTTTGCTGGTGATTTTTGGAGATTATTTGCAAAACCATTACGTATGCCTTGCAGATGGCTCTGAGATCTAGTGGCTGATGAAAATCCCCGACTCAGCGGGCCCCAGAGAGGAGCCGCCTCCTCTGTCCCCCCACAAACAGCTGACACTTCTCGTGCAGAGCATTGTCTGCCTCCCTGAAGGTGGGAATCAATGACTTAGAAACTGATTAAACAATCCAAATAGCAGCTGATAAATGGGTCAGCCCCCTCTGATGTGATTCTGCTAGCGTTTATCTTCTGCCTTCCCCAGGTAAGACTGCTATTCCTGGAGGCACAGGCATGCAGGAAGCGGAGCCAGAGGGAATCATATGAAAGTGTGCCAACCTGTTTATCACTTACCGTCTGGGTGGGATTTCTGCTCACATTTCTGCTTCCGTTTACAGATTTGTACCCTGCGGGACCCTGGTTAATGTTAGCCAGTGAGTAGTGACAAACAGCAGCAGACACTGGGTGTGTGGCGAGGATGAGGGTCCCCCAGTGCTTAAGGTGGATCCCATAAATGGCCTTTTCTTCTCCATCGCAAACAAGGAGTGTGAACAGGACAAAGAAATGTCTGTAAAAGGGAGAAAGGAGAGGAAAATGGCGGCCTCTTTCCCTAGGCCAGGAGCCTGCCCACGGCTTTCCAAGCAGCCCGTAGAGGTGGAGAATGGTTTTGGTGCTCAAGGACATGTGCTGTTCTTGTGCAGCTTTGTTGTCAGGGTCATAGCCCAAGGCTTTGTTGGAGGGCTGGCAGCAGGGATGGGTCCCGAAGGTGGTGCATGCACTGCTTGTGAGGGTCCCAAGTCTGAAGACACGGTGCCAGTGGGCTGGCAGCTCACCATTCAACACATTTCTGTCCCGAGACTGAGCCGCGTGCCTGCATGTCCGGCTCTGATTCCAGGCTCTTGGGGTCTGCAAGGTAACTTGTCCAAGGTGCTTTCTGTGTTCAGTGAGTCTGGACTTCAGGGAGCTGAGGCTGGGCGAGTACAGACACCCGTGTGCCTGCCAAGATGTTCATCAGAGCCCCCAGCGGCATCTCCAGTGTCCTTCCTGGCAATGACCACCCATTGGCGCTTCTTTGTTTTCCTTTTCAGGGACAGGAAGAATATCTCCTAAACAAGAACATCTTTCTCAAGAGCAAGGTGCAGGCACCGACCGTTTCGCGCCCTCTAGTCCCACCAGTGTGTCTGTGGTTGCCGTCCGATGTTTGGGGCTTTGGCCCTGGGGGTTGGTTCAGGGTTGAGAGAAGTTCGCTTGCCTAATTGGTCTTCTGGATGGTTTGCTCATCCAGAGATGAAATTCTGAGCTGGGAAATATTGCACAAATTAAATTTGGGATGACTTGCAGGCATTAGTACCGTTGAACCAAGAAAGATGGAGAGGCAAACCTAGTCCGATGTAGTTACTCAGTTGGAACAAAACCTTAGCTTCTAAACTTCAACCTCTTTCTGAAACAGATTCCACCACACTGTGGGAGGAGAAGGGAGGCAGGAGCAACACATCTCAGCCTAAAGTTGGGATTCTCTTTCATGTACCCACAGCCCAGAAGGGACCGGATGGGACGGTCATTCCCAATAACTACTGTGACTTCTGCCTGGGAGGCTCTAACATGAACAAGAAGAGCGGGCGGCCGGAAGAGCTGGTGTCCTGTGCCGACTGTGGACGCTCTGGTGAGTGTGGCCCCCTTCCTGCACCGTGTGCCCGTAGCCCAGGAACCATCCCACCTGCATTCCTCTGCCATCTCGTGGTGCTGCTGGCGGGGCTGGAGAGTGAGGTGGAGAAGTGACGGTGGTGACGCTTTCGAGTAGAGTCTCAGAGTGTTTTGAGATGTTTCTTCTTTGAGTCTTAAGAATCAAAAGTTAGGATCTGGGTTTCCAGGAGGAGGGCAAGGAGACGTTTGTCACTTGTGTCTGGCCTTCCCAGGAGATGGATGATGTCTCTGTGTGCGTTGTTGCGGGCAACAATGAGATAGAATGGAAACACCCAGAGACATGGGCAGTATGCTTTCTGTATTGCGTGGTGCACAAGTAACGGAAGAGTGTGTTTGTTCTATGGAAGTACCGGAGCAGGGCAGGGGTGGGACCTCCTAGAGTGTGGAAGCGTGAATATTGACAGAGCAGCTGCGTCTTGAGTCCCCTGGGTGCTGGGTCACTGTCTAACCACTGCCTCATTGCTCACTCATCCCATGCTCACATGTGCAACAGGCAAAAAGAGACCCTGACCGATCAAGGCGGCAAAAGGACAGGCATTCCCTAGGACTAAGCTCGAATTGACTTGGCATAGATCTGTATCTATATCTGCACACACACAAATATAGATAGATAGATAGATAGATAGATAGATAGATAGATAGATTGATTGATAGGTAGATTTTTAACCTATCCAAAGACCAAAACAACAACAAAAGGAACTTGTGGTCTTATTGCCTCAATCTTAACATGATTGCAGGGCTTCAAGTTGTGTTCCAGCTGTTGTTTAGCTTTTCAGTTCTAGCAGGACCATTCTTTCTGGATGATCACAGTGGGGACTACCTGTTTTTCCTATTATTATGTTGTAACTAGACCAAAGTAAAAGGCAGGGAGGACAGAGAAGTTTAGCCTTATCTTGGGTCTCAGCCACTACTGGCTAGTAGGTGACCCATAGGTTCAATGGGGCAGTGGGCTCTGGCCGTGGGAAGCCATTTCTTTTTCCCAACTTCTCCACCTGCAGGCCCATGTGGAGGACTGAGGTGACCGCACCTTGACTTCACTGTGGCAACTCGGTTCTTCTTGAGCTTTAGCTCTGTTGTATTTCGATGTTAGGGCTGTTGAGGAATCAACACTGACTTGAGTGGCAAATCAGCATTTGGGAATGATGGTAGTTTCAATGCACTGAACCCTCAACATTGGACATTCCAGGACCCCGACAGGGCAGCCCATCTGTGCAGTGCTGTCGGTTTGTTTACTGTCCAAAGGTGATGCCCAGCGTTGAACTTTTACCTCCACTGGTGCTGGCTTGGAAGACAGGGCTGTTGTAATAATGGACTCTGGTTTTTAGAAGGAAAATAAAAAACAAGAAATGGAATTCAATTCAATGTTTTTTTGTTCGTTTGTTTTAAAGGCAGGCAGGCAGACAAACAAGGTCCCTTGGTGGAGAGATTGTCCAAGCAGGGTGTCATGGCCTGCCGTAGGTTTGGGTGGCTTAGAGATGGTAGTTTTGCAATTCTCCTTGCAAACTGCTGCCTTTCTTCCCCTTTGTTGCCTATAAAAGATGGGGTTCATGAGTCTGACTCAGGGGCATCCCATGTGGGAGGCCGGTTTTTTTCTGCCCCAAGTCTCCATTTGCACACCCTTCACTCAGCGTTTCTTTGCCAGGTTCTATCTGCCCTGTGACTCAGGGCGCCATTTTAAACCAGCCTGGATCCTCTCATTGCATCTGCCGAGGATTAATTTTGCTGGATCGTTTAGTCAAGGTCTGACTCTGATGTTCCTGAAATAGCTGACACCTTGGGAATAGCCAGGTGGCGCCAGCCCATGGGATGTGTGCTTGCCGAGGCAGGTGGGCAAGGGCGCCTGTGGAGCTCCCTGGGGTCCTTCCAGAGCAGAGCCTGGCGCTTGGGCGAGCTGCCCTCCCTTCCTGTCTGCCCCACGACTTCTGCTTCCTGCGAGAAAGGAAGATTCCGGAAATTGGCACCATAAGTGGAGCGCTATTATCTGCCGTGGTGGGGGCTGTCCTGGGGCTCGTTTAGAGTGTGAAGTAGTTCAGACCTGAGTTTTACAGGTTTCAGAATGCTAGATTTTATTAGGCTTTTTAAACCCCTGTATCTCGCTTTCCGAGTGTCCTGAGTTAGATTTGACAATTCTGAACTTTTGGGAGTAACCAAGCACGTTTAAGTGGCTGGAGTGTGTGTGTGTGTGTGTGTGTGCGCGCGCATGCGTGGGTGCAGATGGCAAAAACCTCCTCCATGGTTAAAGAACATGAGAAGCTCCTTCACTACCTACCACTTATCAGAATTTCCAACTTCTTTTCACTTTCAGTGCAAATGAACTACATGGTGTCAGGGCAGAGCCGAAAGGTTTCCGAAAGAATGGGATTAGAAGCGGGTAAACATAGGGATAAAACGGATGGGGGCTTAAGCACCTTTACCGGGTTATCTGACAGAAAATACCTTTGTAAAGCTGGCTGTCAAAGGGAAGCACAACACTGCTCAAAGCAACACCAGCCGAGAACACCAAAGCTGTACCCACCCGGCTCAGGGACGACCGAGGAAAACCCTTGTCAAGGGCGGGGTTGGGCGAGCGTGCGTGCACCTGTGTCGTGGTGGGCTCCCTCACTGTCGGGAGCCGTGGACACGTGTATTATGGGAGAGACGGTGCCTTTCCGGGAGAGGGGGAATAAATCCTCTTCCCTGGAAGTGTTTGCTTTGTCCCAAATCCCTGTCGCCAGGTGATGTCCCTGGCTTAATCCCTTTTGCTGTGACAATGGTTGATTATCTCGCTATTAAGAATAACACCGTAATGACGTAATGAGAATATTAATGATGCTGTCTGTTGCTTAACCCATGTGCTGATATATTCATCATACATGTCAGCTCATTTGGGAGGAGAAGGCAGGAAGGAGAAGGAGGCAGCGGCCGCAGCACGCACCACGGAGGACTTATTCGGTTCCACGTCAGAAAGTGACACGTCAACTTTCCACGGCTTTGATGAGGACGATTTGGAAGAGCCTCGCTCCTGTCGAGGACGGCGCGGTGGCCGCGGCTCGCCCACAGCACATAAAAAGGGCAGTTGCTGAAGCCGTGGAGCGGACTGCCGGGCGGTCAGCGCCCCCCTCTGACTGTGGCCCTTGTCCCGGTTCTGATACCTATATTTTTTAATGAAAGACAACCTAGGTTTTCCCTTTCTCTTTGCTTTTTCCGCTCAGACTTCCACGTGTCCCTTCCTCCCCGCCATCCCTCTCTGAGTAGTACAACAGAAGCACAAACTACTGAAACAAACAGGACAGCAGGAAGGAGCAGGGCGAGGGCTCTTGCGAGAGAGGGCGTCGTGATGTGCTGTTTGTCTCCCATAGAGATAGAGCCTTAGGTGGATTATTCGCTTTTTGGGGGGTGGGGGTGGGGGTGGGGGTGGGATCTCTTTGACACGAGCAGAGTTGATGTCCTCAGTTTTCATATTTATTGGCAAAATGAAGAGAAGAAGGAGCACTGGGTTTTGAAACAAAGAACCAATAACATTAAAATATTATTTATGTGTGCTAGATATTAGAATCAGACTTTTTTTTTGAGAGAGAGAAGGGGAATCAGAGAAATGGAAATAAGATCCTGTTTAGGAGCGAGCCGCTGGGGGGAGAATCTCCTCCGTGGGAGGTGATTGTACCTTCTGTGCCCTACGGAGTCCGACACTCCCCACGGCAGACCCCTCCCCAGTTCTCATCCCTGACCTTTCCATCTTCCTCTCCGCTCTTGCGAGAAAAATGTCCACAGTTCCAGAGAGGTCGGGGGCCGCCCGCATCTGGCCTCCCTCCAGCCCCCGGAGGCCCTGAGCGGCTGCTGCCGCCTTCGCGGCTGCTCCTCCTCCGCCAGTGCTGGGCTGTCCTCCCTGTCCTGGTGAGGAGCAGCTTCCAAGTGCAGGAACGGAACCAAGCAGCAAGTCCGGGGCTCAGCAGTGACGAAGCCGCCCGAGGCCACGCACGAGGAACAGAGACTGACACCTCACTGTCTGTGTCCCCTCCCCCTTGCCTGTGTTTCAAAACAAAATACATGCCCACTGGATGATCAAGTCTCCTGTATTTCTTCGTCCATTTTTTTATAGTGCCCGCCAGGCACTTTGTTTTGTGTTTCCAGTAGCACTTCCTGAAATTAACCAAAGCAACACTTGCCCAAGGCCCTTGGAGAAGACGGTGCACCTCGTGGTTGGCAGTCCCGAGCATCGGCACCTTCAAGGTCGTACACGAAAGGTAGGTCTTGGCTGGTCCTTCTGCAAGGAGGGCAAAACACCATACTTTTGTTTCATTCTTAAGTTCTCTTTTTCCCTCTACATCTGTGGTTGTTGTGCTTTTGTTCTTTTGGGTCCTCATCCCCTTCTGAGTGTGGGAGTGGCCCTCTGTGGCCTGTGTGCGCATGTGTGCCCATGTGGGCTGGGCGCAGGCATGGGGGCTGAGGCTTCCCTGGGGTACGGGAGGGGCTCTCTGTGTAGGAGGGGGGCCTTCTGGCTTCGACTGCAAGGGGCAGTGGCTGGGGAAGTGCTTGGCTGACTCTGCCCACCCCCACCCTCCACTCCCGGCTATATCTGCAACTGGAGGCCAGGGAAGGAGGTCGGAGCTGGCTGCTGGTACTGGGCTTGGGTAGGGATGAGGACTGCATGTCTAGGGTGGGATTTCTTGCTCCAGGTAATAGGGGGCAATGAGTCCACATTTACAGAAGATCCCTGCTTAGGCACGACACACAACGGGGCTGTTTTGAAAGGTTCTGAATGCCTGCTTTGTGTGGCTGAGGTTTCTGGCCTCCGAGAGAACATAGGCCCAGAGACATGGGCAGTGTGGGGAGCTCTCAGGGACTGCCCCGTTGGCAAGTTGCTTGCAAGTGTCAGGGAAGATCTGCTTTGACCATCCAGCTTCTACAGACCTCGTGAGCTAGAGCTCTCTCCCCAGTAACAAAACACCCCGAGAAAAGCCCAGGGCAAACAGAGAAAAC